GTCAGACCAGCGTACCCGTAGTCAATATGCATGCGCAACATGTCAGATTTGCTTTTATCCCTTTAGTTTTGTATGAAAAAATAAGACTTTAAACTACCTCGACTGGCGTGTATCACTTTAGTCATGCACAAAAAAAAAAAAACAATTAAGGTGAGATCACCATACGCTTTAAAAAACACCAAAAAGTAAGTAATTAAATGAGGTACCGTAAATCCTCTAATATAGGACGGGGCCTTTAGTTCACTCAGGTGCATCTCAGGTGCATCTTGGTTCTGCCATCACAGCAAAATTATATTTGAGGCAGACTAAGTGGAAGGAGGCTAGCAGTATCGTATATTTCAAGGGAAATTCAGAACAACGAAGGCCAACGTAATTCTGTCATTTTAATGCTGCCTGGTTACTACCAGACCTAGCGGTGATCACATGTCTTTCAGATCGGAACGATTGGTTAAGGTCACTACGATCTCTGTGTAAGGATGGGACTTCCCATGCTAATGGCTTGGATTCGGTAGCAAACATTGCCCCCCTGTGGTACTATCACAAGTTGTTGAGGACTGCCCAGGAACATTGTTGGTTCTATTTATAGCTCTGGCCTGTATAAGAGTCCGGCCATTATTTACCTCCGCCGACAGCGAGACCGCCATTATTAGAGACCCGGCCGCTAATGGAATACAGGCCAATATTAGAGGATTTACAGTAATTTAAAGTTGATTTTTCTTACAAAAGTAAAGGGATAAATTTGACTATGGATATGCTGGCCTGACTGCGTCGTGGAGAGCAGTTTAAGCAGAGATGCCCAGCTGATCCATGGTCGTTATTTTTTTAATAATTTTTTTTCTAATTGGAAGGATTCCTGGTAAAACGGTGTGATCGTGGACAGCCACACGATCACAGCACACCGACAGAGTTCATCTGGCAAAAGTCAGCGAGGAAAATCTCACTTAGTTCAGAGTAAATGAACATGGCCGACGATGAAGAAGCAACAGAGATGCTAAGTGGGCCGATTCTGACCTGACCGAGGAAAAACCATTTCAGGAAAGCCTCTTTCCCACTGAAAACATCGGGTTAACGTGTGTTTTTCGATGATGGGTTGACCCGCTATTTGTCATTTGGCTTCTTTCCCGCTGGCAGTAAAAGCTGGTCTAACCCCTCGCTGGCAGCTGCGGGGTCTCTGTCCCCCCTGCCTCTGCAGGGGATCATCACGCTGGGTTGCATTGATGATGTCACCAGAGTGACAGAAATCAGGGAAGTAAACAATGGAGAGCAGCATGGCAGGAAGCCATGGCGTAGTTAGTGTGCTTTATTGTTTCTCTCTATTATCTGTCTGAATCCATCTCACCAGAGCTGCTCCAAGTTTATCCAAAGTAAACAGAGTTGATTCTGCTTGTTAGATCAGAGGCGAGTGGTACGGTGTGTTGACATCCGTATGATGCGTTCAATGGCATCACGTAATTTAGCGGGTCAACCCGCTGTAGGTACCAGATCTGCTCGGGTTCTGCTTCATGCCAGTGACTTTAGGCTACATGATTGGCTGAACGTTGCCACATGATGTAAAACGTTGTTGTTGCCCTGACAACGACAATAACATCGCTCAGGCCTGATAATCCCAGCAGACCAACCACTCTGAACACACCATCAGCCCAGACACCAGAAAGTAAATATGCCTGATCCAGAACCCCGTAGGTTTTAGCTTTACTTGGTTCAAATTCTGTATAAAAATCTGCTGCAGCCCATCAGTTTACTGTAGATGACATCAGCAGCAGCTCACTGTGAGTTTATGCTTCCATTTTCTGCTATATTCCACATCCTTCTGAGGTCCAGCCGGCCTCATGGGGGCCGAGGCCCCGTCCTTCTAACAGGAGACCAGGGTGAGGCTATAGGGATAGAACAGGCATAGAAAAAGAAACTTAGATGTGTTTGTACCTTTAGCAGCGGCTGCAGGTTTAGTAGCCATTCGTCCAACCAGGCACTCTTTCAACATGGACTCATAGTTCACCCAGCGATGGACCTGTGACACAGCGAGGGGGGAAACCAGTGAGGCTATAGAGGTGGGCCTTTGTGGGGATCAGATGAGCTGAAGTCTTTCAGGTTTAATAGATCGGGGTCAGACAGGAAACCAGTTCTGATACTGAACTGGTCTGATTACGAGAGCAGAGCTGCATTCTGAGGAGAGCCGATGAAGGGAGGCCTGAGGCTTCTGGGCTGGATGGAGAGTTAAAGCCAAAAAGAACCAACGGGTCCCAGTGCTGCATACCCGGTCAGACCAGCATACCCATAGTCAATACCCCTTTATCCCTTTGGTTTATCCCTTTGGTTTATCCCTTTAGTTTATCCCTTTGGTTTATGCCTTTGGTTTATCCCTTTAGTTTATGCCTTTGGTTTATGCCTTTGGTTTATGCCTTTGGTTTATCCCTTTGGTTTATGCCTTTGGTTTATCCCTTTAGTTTATGCCTTTGGTTTATCCCTTTGGTTTATCCCTTTAGTTTATGTGTTTGGTTTATCCCTGTAGTTTATGCCTTTAGTTTATGTGTTTGGTTTATGCCTTTAGTTTTGTATGAAAAATAGACCTTATACTATCTAAACGGGCGGGTAACCCTTCAGTCATGTACAAAAAAACTATTTAATGACTTACTTTTTGGTGTGTTTTGAAGTGTATAATGACCTCACCTTAAATGTTATTATCTTTTGTATTGACTGGTCTATATATGGTCTATATATGCTGGTCTGACTGGGTAACACCGGCCTGTGGCCTCCATCCAGGTCAGATCTCAAACATCCAGCCCTGCTTCTCAACATGGACCCACTGCATACTGAGCTGAACTCTGTACCTGGTCAAAGAGGTCGGTGCCGTCTATCCCTGCTGCCTTCATCAGCTCCTCTTCTCCACCCGGATGGTAGTCCATGTAGGGCGTCACGTTGTAAACCATCCCTGAAAGGACAGAAATGCTTCATCTCAGTTTTGTCTGGATCAGTGTTCAGGATTTTTCCCAACGGTGCGTTTTGGTACTAAAACATTTGTTCAGCTCAAGCGACTGCAGCCGTGCTGGAAGCGGTCAGAACCGGTGCTGTTTCCTCCCTCTCTGCCCTGATGAGCTCCTGCCTGATCTCCAGCTGACTGATAGTGATGGTCCATTAACAGCGATGCGTCGGTGCATGCGTGGAGCCCATAGAGCTAAACACTGCATCGCTGCGAGTGTCGTTTCCAGAAAGTCATGTGACCGATCCAGGAGATGTTTCTAACTGACTGATTCACATAACTGTGTTTGAAATCATATTTGTCAATATGAAGCATCTGCTAAAAAAAATCTTATCTTTTGCGGTTTATCATTGGGTTTTTATTTTATTTTATCACGTCATCCTTTTCCTCTCAGTTATCACTCAACTTATCTGAATTAAAGTTCATTTCAAATTGATTCTTAGTTTATTTACTGTTTTTACTGCACTTATTGTTTTAAAATTATGATTTAAATGCTAGTCCACATCCTCATTCACATTTTCACCTCAATATTCACGCTATGTTTACATTTCAGTGAGTGAGTGCTTGTTGCTTTGATGTGTCTTTGCTCAGCAGCTGTGCTCGTTGTAAACCAACCAATCAGAGCACAGCTCATCTAAATATTCATGATCAAACCATAAAAGGAAGAAACCTGTGGTTTCATTCTAGGGCTTTTAACCAGGCTGCATTAGGGCTCATAGAACAGCTAATATGCCATTTTCAGCCCAACCAATGTTACACGCCCTATTAGAGACCTGAAGGACCAGATACCCTATAGAATCATTCTATCACCCTATTAGAGACCTGAAGGACCAGATACCCTATAGCATCATTCTATCACCCTATTCAGAGACCTGAAGGACCAGATACCCTATAGCATCATTCTATTACCCTATTAGAGACCTGAAGGACCAGATACCCTATAGCATCATTCTATCACCCTATT